ATAAAGGTGAGTTCATATTAGTACTTAGTGTACAAGCTTTAATGTAATCCCAACAGTGTTCTCGTGGTCACCCTGACCTAGATCCATATTTTCCTTGCTTAATTCTCCCCGCAGGAAAAGAAAGCTCTTATCTCACATCAGGAAGGATTATTAGCTGACAGGGAGGACTTAGACCTCCTCCTGTACGTGCAGAATACCTGGTAACATTAATTTCCGCATCATTTAAAGTTGTCGTTACACAAATTAAGTGACTTTTCTGCTTTTTCCATTGCTGACATGGGGAAATGTGCTTTCCTAGTCTGTTTCCATTCAACTATAAACTCTGGCTTCAGAGTTTCATTGCTGCTCCTTCCTGTGCTCTTCTCTCTTCTTGCGGGTTTTTATCCCTTTCTCTTTTACTTTCATTTTAGTCCGGCTTTGAACAGGAGCCAACGTTGATGGTGTATTTAACATGCACTGCTTTTCTTCCTTTTTTGACAGAGTAATGTTCTTAGTAAATATTTTCTATTTTATCATTTCATTCATGACCAGATGCTTCACATTCTCTGTTTTCTTAAAGTCACTATCAGAAACCTTTTTGCAAACAAATCTCCCTGTTTGGAAAGCTTTGAATATATCTTGTCATCTTTAGGGATCTTCTAAAATTTAATCTTTTGAGCCTTTTTACAGCATTTGTTAATTACAGTTTTTAAGTGGAGTTTATTGCATTCAAACAGAAAGTATAAAACTAAGGGAGTGAGAGGATTCTTTTCAAGCTGCTAAAGTTTACTTGCTCATTAGTGATAAGAATTATTGTCAGTTGTCTGATACTCTACTCCATCATTGCTCAGTTTACTATGTTTTACTTTCTTTCCCTTCTACTTTTTGTCTTTGATATATTTAGTAGAAAAAGCTACTCTGCCTTCCTCCTAGATTTTAATACAGTATGTTATATTCTTTATCATACCCTTTTAGAGCCAGAAATGAGATCAAGCTACAACTTATTCCAGAATATTTCCCATAGAAGGGAGATGCTCAAGTCATTTGTAACAGCTAGTTTCTTGTATTTAATCTCTCTTGGAATCATAGTGCCTCTTCAGTGGCTTGTTTCAGTACTTGTCAGTGATGTGGTGAGCTTATTACTCATGTTCTGGTGGAATGCAGAAATATGCGAGAAGTGAGCAAAAGAGAAGTGCTCTTCTTTCCAAGCATCCAGGAAAAGGATGGTTACAGGTTACAGAAAATTAAGTAGTTGATGTAGAAAAAAAGTAGGTGAGGAGGAAAGTGGAGGCAGGACAGGGACAGTGTGGCGATGGAGATAGAGGATTTTTTTTTTTTTTTTTTTTTTTTTTTTTTTTTTCCCTGTAGCCCCAGCTGTCCTGGAACTCACTATGTAGACCAGGCTGGCCTTGAACTCACAAAGATCTGCCTGCCTCTGCCTCCTGACTGCTAGGATTAAAGGCATGCGCCACCACGCCCAGCGAGGATGGTTTTATATTTACATTTATCATCTGCTGGACAGTTTTAGTTAACAGCCTCATACCTGCATAGAGGGAGCCTCAGTTGGGGAATTGTCTCCATTGGACTGGCCTGTGGCCATGTCTGCGGGGTAGTTTCTTGATTTTTGAGTGAAATGGGAGGGCCCAGCCTACTGTGGGCAGTGCCACTCTGAGCAGGTTGTTCTGTATTGTGTAAGAAAGCAGGCTGAGCATGGGCCAGAGAGTGCAATGTGGTGGTTTGAGTGAGAATGTACCTCATAGGCTCTAAGTATTTGAACATTTTGTCCCCAGTTGAACTGTGACCCAGGAGATATAAGATAAAATAAAGCCATTCCTCCCCAAGTTGGTATTGGTCAAAGTGTTTTGTCACAGCAATTGAAGTCAAACTAGAACATCATCTAATAATTGTTTTTTCCAGTGTGCCAAAAGAAAATTAAAAGATTAGAAATCTTTTTTCTTTCCCTTTGACAAATTTTAGAATTAAAAACAGGACATGCACAACACAAGGTTCTGTATAAGAATGTATTCAACAAATGTGTAGCGTTGCTTTATGTCCAAAGCTGTGATGCACATGATCTGTCTTAAAAGATGTTGTGGTAGCAGAGTAGCAAGTCGCTCGGCAGTGTGCAGAAGCTGTCCACATCCTTCAGAAGACTGATTTAGAAAGGACACAGCGAAGCAGCCTTTTTGGAGTTGTTTTCCTGATTTGTAATTTATTTTGAAATGATATTTGTGGATTTTTTTAAAAGTGATTCCTTAGGAACCAATAAAGAACAGATGGAGTATCAGTTTCTTTTAGCTATTTCATAAATTGTAGAGCCTTTTGTATAGCCTCAAATGTGCATTACACATTTAAACATTTCCTTTTAAACAAAAGGAAATGATATTGAAAACAGAAGTCAGGTTCTTAATGAAGTTTCCTTTACAAGTCCAGTTTTTGGTTATTTTTTATGGTTTATTATATGCAATGAAATTTTTAAATGCTGTATTTATTTTGGTTCTGTTAAGTAAAATCTATAAGTTATTTTGTCCACAGTTTAGATATTTATGCCAGAACACAGTGTATCTGAAGTTAAGGTCTAAATAATTGACAGTTAGCTGTATCCCTTTCCTTAACTGTTTTGTAAAGCTGTGTAATAATAGTGGTTGCCCAACTTCCAACAATTTCAACTGTTGATTCTTTTAATCCTGTAATTTTGTTTCTAAGTTAAAGGTACTTCAAACTGCTCTTTGAGTAACATTTCAAAATAAAAAAATCATAAATTTGATTAGCTAGATTAAAACTATTCCGTTCTACTTTTATTTAGGAAAAAGCCACTGGCCATTTACCAAGCTTATATTATTTCTGTAGTCGACATTAAAGATAAGGATGGTATAGATTTAGCAAACATTTTTTAAAATTGGTACCAACAACCAGACCTATATAGATATATAGTGTCTTACCTTTACTTTTCCCTTTTTGTTTCCGGGACGGATGTACTCAAGAAATTGATTCTAGTTCTTCTACGCCATTAGAAAAATGTGTGTCATATGATTGCATTTCACTTTGTTTTAACCTTTGTACCGAGTGTACAAGTGATTAAAAAGAACTTGGGCTTCTTTAGCAAAAGATTGACTAGAAGAATAATTTCTTAAAGACATCTTTGCCAATTTTAATATAACACGTTAGGTAATGTGCTTCTCTTCAAAAATTTATCAAAATATTAACAGTTTTATTTTGTGGCTTAACATGTAGAATATTAAGAACACGTACTTTTGAAAGATGCTGTTTCTAAAGTAATGTGTTAGATGTAAAGGTATTTTCTGTTTAGAAAGATTCAAGTTAAAAATACACCACCAAGTTTTATATTTCACAGCTTTTCAACTTTGTTGTTTGCTCATTTTTATGACACCTTTATTGGTCATTTTGTTGCCAGGTTATAACTGGGGCAAAGTGCTTAAAGCATCTAAAGACAGCCATTATATGGCCTTCAGAAAAGAAGATTCCTTCCTTGTGATGTAATTTTAACCTTCTGTAAAGTGGAATACTGCACAACATTAGTTCCCATCTACCTACAGTGGACATAGTAGGAAGAAACAGTGTTGAACGAATAATCGTGCAGTTTAGAATTAGGTCCAAAAGATTATCTCCTCAGGGCCTTAATAAGTTGGGTAAAACAAAGATAGGAACAAACAGTACTTTCTGTTTCCTGTGAGTTCACATTCTTATGTGCACTGGCTGTGGGAGACACTTCTGTTACAGTGATAATTAATGGTTAAAGGCGTACGCCACCACGGCACCACGCTACCACGCCACCACGCCACCACGCCACCACGCCTGGCTGAAGTACTTCAGTTGTGAGCGGTGTCTTCCCACTTTGTTTACAGAAATTTCCTTTAACCTATTAATTAAAATATTTTATGTGTATGAGTGTTTTGCTTCTCTGTATGTAGTATCATGTATCTGCAATGCCTTGCAGGGACCAGAAGAGGGTGTCAGATCCCCTGGAACTGGAGTTACAGGCAGCTGCCTTGTGGGTGTTGGGAATCAAACCTGGGTCCTTTGGAAGAACAGCAAGTGTTCTTAACCACTGAGCCATCTCTCCAGTCCCTCTTTCCCTTATTAACAAATGACGTATAGAAAATAAGTGGCGTATTTCTTGTTATTATATGATAATTATTGCAGTTATCATATAATATTTTTCAGGAAATTAATGTGTTTTAAGGCTAAACCATGACATAACTTGTAAAATACCAATTTTATTTAAAACAATAGGTAAAAGCAAATTTAAGCAAAGCATATTAAGGTTTCTTTTTAAAAAATTTTAAACTTTATTCTTATTGTGTGTGTGTATCTGGGTCTTTGTGTGTCTCTATGTGTCTGTGTGTATAGGCACTCATGTGACATGGCACATGCGTGGATTCTGTTCTCTTTCCACTGTCAGTTTCAGGGATTGAATTCAGGTTGTGAGGCTTATGCAACAAGCAGTTTTGTCCACTGAGCCTTCTCTCTGGCCTTAAGAATTCATAGATCTCCCTACTGACCAGTTACTCACAGCTGCTCTACTTTACATGATCTGCATGGTAACTTTCTATTCAGGGATATAACTGGATCAAAGAATGCTATGCCTAAAAGATGTTTGGAAAACCACTATTTTAAAACCAAAACTTTTTTTGGAATATGATAACCGAAAGTTTAACTAAATTCCATTATGCACAAAGTCATAAAGCTTTTATGTGATAATCTTTTGTTTTATTCATAAGTTTAAATGAAGAGTAAAGAAATTGGATTTGGGGATACAGAAAAGAAAGTTGTAATAAGACTATGTGATAGGATAAAATTTTATGGTTTCTTTTCCCCATTCCCACAGTGTGTCCAAGTATCCTTTTAAATTTTTAAATACCTCTGACTGGGGCTGGAGAGATAGCTCAGCGGTTAAGAACACTGATTGTTCTTGCAGAAGACCAAGTTCAAATCCCAGCACCCACAAACTGTCGGTAACTCCAGTCCCAGGGGATCTGACAGCCTCTTCTGACCTCTGCAGGCATTGCACGACATGGGTGCACTTACCTACATGCAGGCAATACTCGCATACACATTAAAAAAAAAGTTAAAAAAAAAAAACCTTTAAATACCTCTGACTAAAATTACTTGATTTTTTCCCCCCCTCAATAAACTGACAGGAACATTACATGTTTTTTATTTCAGGAAAGAAAAACAAATTAGAGGTGTAGAAGAAGAGGTTGAACAAGAAAAGCAAGCAGCAGATGGAATTATCAAAAATATGTCTCCTGAGAAACAAATCAAATACATAGATATGAAAACTACAAATGAGAAATTACTGCAGGTAATATTAACTCTGACTGTGATAGGTAAAAAAAAAGTTGGTAGAGAATGAGCGAATGGAGGAGGAAGCACCAGGACACAGATAAAATGCCATCAAAATAGGGTTTATTAGCAAAGGAACACATGGGACAGATTCCCTCCTGGGCAGGGAAAATGTCTGCCGGGTCTTGAGCTGGGGTCTTTTTAAAAAGGGAGCCTTCTGCCTCCTGCAGAAGAGTAGGGGAAGCAGTAACTTGTTTGGGTGGGTGGGGGAAGTGGACAAGTGGGACTGTTAAAACCTGTCCTCTTTAGAGATCAAAGGGGAAGCCTACTGTGTTGACCAAACAGTGGAGAAAAGTCTGCTTCTCTTGACTTCAAAGACCAAGGTGCTTATCAGCTAGGTTCCCTTTTCTAAGGAGCATGAGAAGTCCTTGGGATCCTGTTGGTGAGGGGGCAGGGCTATCTGAACCTTAACACTAGGTATGTAGCATCATTCTACAGCACAGTCTGAAAATCAGGATCCTCATCCTCTGAGAACCCAAGTACCTACTCATCAGAATCTAATTGTAACAAGGCTCTCAGCTAATTCCTCTTATCATTTAAATACAAGAAGCACTGATCTCGAGGACATCATTTTCTTATGCTTTATGATCCAGTTTTTTTTTTTTCTTAAAAATAATTATTTAGGCCTGGCATGGTGGTGCACACCTTTAATCCCAGTACTCAGGAGGCAGAGGCAGGCAGAGTTCTGTGAGTTCAAGGCCAGCCTGGTCTACATAGTGAGTTCCAGGACAGCTGGGGCTACAG